TAATATAGCCTATAAATAGCTAATAAGATAAAATAGCCTATAAATATTATTAATTAAGCTAATTATTATCTAATTCGTTAAGCTTTGTTTAAAGCTTCAACGATACCGATTCTCGCAACTATTGATGTACATGACCCACGGTAATTCGCCATGATATTAGACACGACTAAATAATAGCCCAACTCACCCTGATAGCCCTATAGCTGTGAATTAAAACCTCATTAATAAATGAATGTTTAAATTCTCACCTAATTTCCACATGGCCTGGCGCTCATAGGATCCTATGTCCCCATGGGTAGCTGCCCCCCCCCGAAACGTACCCCTGGGTACGATCGTGCGCTTATACCGGAACGTACCCTGCCGTCGACTATTTGATATGGTTAGCGGGTTAGGATTATGGGTTAGGGTTAGTGGATTAGGTTCTAGGGTTAGGGCACGTTTCAGGGTTAGGCGATAGGCGTAGGCGACTCCTCTAGACTCAGTTCAGTGGAGTAGCCGCCGACATGATACGTCCGGCATATTAAGATAGTACCAGGGTACGTATGGCGGCAGTACCCTTGACGGCGCGACAATTAGACCTGCTCAGGCCTGTACTTGGTGTGTGCTGCTCTCTTACAGAATACACCCTTCCAACACATTTACCTCGAGCCAAGATTATAAGTATAAAATCGCACAAAATCTTCTCCGTCGTAGCTGCACCAACGCTTATCAACACTTTGCATATTTATGACCCTCATCAACACTAGCTAGCAGCACTTACAACTTATCTACATAAGTGGCTAATTTAACGAATACCTTCATGGATGTCATAACTAACTACACGTATACGCAAGGCTCTTACATTACAAGTAAGACATTCCATTTAATAAATCTTTAAGACATTTTTGTTTTGTTTTAAAGGTTGTCCGACCATCGAGATGTCCGTTCAGGAGCCGGCAGTTACATGGCCAACAGTCACGTTCAACTCCTTGGCTTTTGCCGAGTTCATTGTCTTTCCCAGCTACAGCCAAACATACCCAAATTTAGTCCAGCAAAAAATCAGCATCCAACAATAAGCATGACATAGCCTCGGAGCACCCATTTATGAGCTTTTAAAAATAAAGTCAGAATGTGTGAACCTATTCACCAGGGGAGCAGTAATTTAATCTCATGCCAGTGCAGTGCCATTTCACCCTGAACTTCTTGACCATCTTCGTTTGCATTCACTATTTATAGCCAAATAATACACCCCAAGAAAAAAAATTTTTTTTTTTACCCCCCCCCCCAAACAGTTTTGAAAACTTCTACAACGTCATGTATGATACTTATGTCCGCTTTTATACTGGAGTTCTATCCCGCCTCAGCGTCCGGACCTGAAGCGGGATAAACCACAGTATAAAGTCGAAAACCACCCTTTAGCCGCAGCTTAAAGTTAGTTCCCGCTCTAGTGGGGTGGTTCAGCGTCCGCTTCAGACCCGAGGTTAACGTTTCAGTATAAAAGATATCTCGACTTTAGCCCGCTCTAAATTCCCCCCCCAACTACCCCATTTATACTGCCGGCGGATTATCTCGCTCAGGTCCGGGACCTAGAAGCGGTGATAAAGCTTCCGATAATTAACAAAGGTTCGAAAAACACTTAGCGCGAGCTAAAGGTTATTCCACCTCATGAGGTGGTTCAGGTCCGCTTTCAGACCCAAAGCAACGTCAGTTATAAAACGACTTATCCCGCAGGCTAAAGTTATCCCGCTCAGAAGCGGGCTAAAGTTGTGCGCGAGTATAAAACGACTTATTCGAGCTAAAGTAATATCCCGCTTCAGCAGTATAAAACGACTTATCCCGAGCTAAAGTTATCCGCTCCAGAGCGGGCTAAGTCTGTGCGCAGTATAAAAGCGGCATTAGCAGTTACATGATAACGCGTAGCTCAAATGCAAAAAAAACAAGCGAAATGAGTGGCAGGAAACACATGCTGCTCATGTACACAAACGAACGCGAGGGAAAAAACAAAAGCAAGAATGCATACACAGCGCAGGACAACACGCGTAGTAGACCCGCCCACTCCCCCATATTATATATTCTATGGTGGTAGATCTCGCTGTTACATAATTCTGCATAATATTCTTTTTTTTCTCTCCTCACTTTTTTCCAGAATCTATTCTATATTGGCTTCAGTAACTCGCACCTGTGAAGTCAACGCATCTATTTCAGGGACTTAATTCAGCGCGGTAAAATTAACTCTTGAAGAAGGGAGTCATGCAACCCCTACCCTGAAAATGAGCGGATGGTCCGCAGTCTGAGGCGTTCCAAAATGTAAAGATATTATAACAATAAACGCATGTGCTTATTTTTGAAGTATTCGATCAATAGCAGTGGCACGTTGCCAAAGTTTTCTTGGAATTAGCTGAAAAAATACGTAGATGTCTGCGAGCCGCTGTCCCGGAACGACAAGTTAGCCTATCGCAGCAATTTTCAGGGCATGTCGCCGTACACGAACTTCTGTATGTGTTCAAATCAGGGAGTACGCAGTAAATCAGGCGAGTATTTGGACTCCGGACTCCGCGTTATTCGCACCCGGCCTATTCATTGCCAATTAGCACGGCCAGGCAGCCTTCAGCACGGACGTGTAACGGATCATCTTTCTAGATTTGGAGCATCCAGAAGGGCAAATACATGAAGCAATTTCCTATTCAACTTGCAGGGCCGGTATTATCAGCCTTGAATTCTGCTGCAGCCACTAAACGCCGCTATAAATATCCGAACAAGCAACCTTCTGAGATTAGTCCAGGCACCTGAAGATAGTCTTATGAATGATACATTCAATCCACTTCGTTTTTATTACTAGTTTAAAAAGTAATATTTGTTAGATAAAATATTAATATCTGTATTATCATTTGGAACCAAAAACATGATAGTTGCTACGATAATTTGGTGCAAAAGCACTTTGGTGGCTAACGAGGGAACTTTAGATGCAATGTATTATTTGCGGAGAATAGGTGGCATGCATCACGTCATACTGCTAGCACCCTTGCTGAATGCTGGCAGAACGATCCGGCAGGCAGCTGCGTGATGAGAACTATATATATATAGTATATGCTTCTGGGCAATTCTAGGGGGAAATCAGGGAATCTGTGCGAGCGGTCATGCATTATTAAAGACAGTTAAGCACTGACAACAACAACGAGACAACAGCAACAAAGCAACAACAAAGCGGATATAAGCATCTACAGATAACACATCATTACACCACCAGTCTTTTACCAGGAAATGATCAGAGTAGAGACGGCGACTAGGCGGGAGATTACACTTCAATCAGCCAAAGCACTATCATCAAGGTCAACAGGCTGCATACGGTAGTAGAGGCAGCAAACGGTCAGCGCTGGGCGTGCTGGCAGCAGTGCCAACCTTGCACTGCAGGCAAGCACTCTATGTGGCGCACGGGCATGGGCCCTCCGGCAGTGCGAGAGAGCGGGCTATGGGATGCTAAGCCGCTGGACATGAGTGAGCCGCCATCCGGGCGAATACAACTTGCGTACGTAAGCCTTAAGGCCGACCAACCCTACCAAATAGTTGCCCACCCCAAACATCTTTGACCACTTTTAAAAATGAAAATCAACAAATGCATCGATTGGACCTTTAATATAAATTTAAGATGAATTTATTACGAAGCATAACCCTGCACATTGCGACATGCAGCAGAAATGCAGCAAAATTTTTCAGCAAAATAAATTTTTTTACCTGCCTGCCTACCCTAGTTTGAAAAATCATGTAACTGGAAACAAACAATTTTTTTTGTTACGCCTTATTGTTAATTTTCAGGTAAAGTACAGCTTTATTCGATTTTATTCAAGATATTTAGTAATTTTTCTAGTTGATGCAAAATTTCCTACTAGTTTCTATTTATAGTGATCACCATCAGCAGTGATGTCTATATATATATATATACGTGTGACAGCCGGCACATTCATGTCCTGTACATGTATCTCGCATTCATCATACAAACTTGCACTTTTATTTTCAGTTCGTTTCACACCAGGGTACCATAATGAGCAGGATTTACAATCTTTTTCGTTTTATTGATCCATAGATTAAAAATCTGCACGCGGCATCATTAAAAACACACCCGATGGAAAATGATAGCGAAAGCCCCCAGTGCTAGTGTTCTCCATTAAAAGCAAGTGCGGGGAAACTAAACACCCAATTGATTCTAATACGGTCATTGGCTACTTAAATGTCCTTACCTCCGAGAGCAGCCAGTTCTCCAACCATGAGATCAGATTCGGTGCCATTGTATATTGTCACGTCTATGATACCTTTTCGTATCGTGTCAGATACGCGAGATCCTGAAATGCGAAACCAATTAATATCCGTAAATATTTTGCAATGTTGGAAACCTCCTTTAAACACTCACATTCACCGTGATATATATTAGTTTAAAATACATGTGCTTAGTTTCATCAGTCCAGACGACATCGCTGTATGGCAACTATCTACCATCTATATTTAACCAGCTATATTTAAGAAATAAAAACCCCTCTAACTTCAAAAGATGACAGCCATTGAAATGCCATGTGTGATTGCTTGCAATACTGGCAGAACATGGTCCAACAAGAGTTGCAGAACCTTCGATTCTGTAGAACAGGGCCAAGAGACAAAATCGCTCAAACAGTGCACGATCTGGCATTTGGCATTGAAAAGTCGTATAAGCAGTATTATCCTTTAAATCTGTATCTTAATTTATCGCCATAATGAAATAATCACGTGCGTATACATGCATTTGTATACGTATTTGTTTGCACGTGGTTGGGCCGTGGATGTATGAGTGCAGTGCACGTGGGGTCGGCGTATTAAAGCTACTGTATTGATTTTACATCAATTGGTTAATGACTCAGCCCTAAGGGTTCAAACCTATTTGAGATATCAACTTGACATACACTTATCAAATAGATTATTAGCTACAGGTTTTTTTTAAAGGTACCCTTGCTATGATGCATTTGATAACTCATCACCATCAAGAAAATCTGGGCATTAGTTTATCTGATTGTAAACAAAACTCAGATAGGACTTGACAAATACGTACACATGGCACAACACCATCTCGACAAAATTGCCAGACTGGAGTTTACACTCTGGGTAATTCTGGTCAATGAACTGGCCTTATTTACTACCTGTGTACACGGGTACACCCGTGCATACACTCATTCAAAGACCCTGCACATGCATTTGTTTACATTATGTTCTAAGGTCAACAACTGACACTGGAAGAAATACGGCTGCCCAATCCTTATGAATGGCAGATTAAACGAGAAATCAAACCTTTTAAGGGATTGTAAGCAACAACTACAGTGAAATTTCATGACAAAAGTAGAAGGGTACTCTACACATGCACAGCCATGCTCCTCGCACTGTCGCACATTGTAAACGACAAGTCATGCACCGTTTGAGGGATTTTGTCTCTCAGCCCTGTTCTAAAGATTCGAATGTAAAAACATCACAAATCTTTTAAGAGACACGGCTCGGAGGCTGCGTCTTTTAAATTGATTGATATTGATTGCAGTCTGCCAGACTGACACTCGCAGCTTCACAAGTAGCTTCACGCTTTGTTTAAAGCAACTACATTTCCTCTGTAAGCTCCACTCTTTGTTCAAAATAACTATAGTTCCTCTGTTAGTTTCACTCTTTGTTCAAAATAACTACCGTTCTCTGGTAAGATTGCACTGTCCGCTGTTCAAAGTAACTATAGTTCCTCTGTAAGCTTTGAACACTCTTTGTTCAAAGTAACTTTGTGAGCTTTGAACACTCTTTGTTCAGGAAGGTAAGCTGACAGTTCTCTGTTTAGTTTCACTCTCTGTTTCAATAGTAACTATAGTTCTCTGTAAGCTTTGAACACTCTTTGTTCAATAGTAACTACAGTTTCCTCTGTTTAGCCATTCACTTGTCTGTTCCAAAGTAACTACAGTTCCTCTGGTTAGCTTCACTCTTTGTTCAAAGTAACTATAGTTCCTCTGTTTAGCTTCACTTTCTGTTCAAAGTAACTATAGTTCCTCTGTTAGTTTCACTCTTTGTTCAAAGTAACTACAGTTCCTCTGTTTAGCTTCACTTTCTGTTCAAAGTAACTACAGCTTCCTACTGTTACAGCTTTCACTCGCTTTGTTCAAAAGTAACTACAGTTTCGCTGTTTAGCTTTCACTTTCTGTCATAGGGTAAATCTCAGTCTCCTGCCTGTAGTTTCACTCTTTGTTCAAGGTAACTCACAGTTCCTCTTGTTCTAGCTCAACTTTCTTTCAAAGTAACAGTTCGCCTGCTGTAGCTTGCATTTCTGTTCAAAGTAACTACTAGTTCCTCTGTGAGCTTCACTTCTGTCTCAAAGTAACTATATTGCCGTCTGTTAGTTTCACCTCTTTGTTTCAATAATACACTACATTTCTCTGTAGATTCACCTTGTTCAAATAACCTATAGTTTCTCTGTAGCTGTGAAACACTCTTTGTTCAAACGACTTATACGTCCTCCTGTCTAGCTTTGAAGCACTCCCTTTGTTCACAAGTGAACAACCGTTCCTCCTGTTTTAGCTTCACTTCTGCTTCATAAGTAACGCGTTCCTACTGTTAGCTTCAATTCTGTCAAAAGTAACTATAGTTCCTCTGTGAGCGCTTGCACTCTACTGTTCAAAGTAACTATAGAATTCCGTCTGTTAGTTTCACTCTTTGTCAAGAAATAACTTACATTTCTCTTGTAAGATTTCACCTCTAGTTCAAAAATAACTACAGCTTCCTCTGTTAGCTGCACTGCTCTCTTTCAAAGTAACTACAGTTCTTTGTAAGCTACACTTATATGCTTCAAGCTAACGTACAGTTCCTCTGTAAGGCTTCACTCTCTGTCAACAGTAACTACAGTTCCTCTGTGTTAAGCTTCATCCTCCTGTTCAAGTAACTATAAGCTTCCTCTCCGTAAGCTTCACTCTTTGTTCAAAGTACACTACAGTGTCCTTTGTTAAGCTCTTCACTGTATGTTCAAAGAGTAACTACACGTTCCTCTGTAAGCTTACACTCTCTGTTCAAAAGTAAATACAGTTCCTCTGTTAGCTTCACTCTGCTGTTCAAAGTAAACTATTACGTTCCGTCTGTAAAGCTTCACTCTCTGTCAAAGTAACTACAGTCCGTCTGTGGAGCTTCACTCTCTGTTCAAAGAACTACAGTTCTCTGGTAAGGCTTCACTCTCTGTTCAAAGTAAGCTACAGTTCCTCTGTTAGCTTCACTCTCTGTTCAAAGTAACTACAGTTCCTCTGTAAGTTTCACTCTCTGTTCAAATAACTATAGTTGCTCTGTACTGGGGTTAGCCTGCACTTTCTGTTACAAAGTAACTACACAGTTCCTTCTGTACAGCTTTCACTCTCTGTTCAAAGTAACTATAGTTCTCTGTAAGCTTCACTCTCGCTTCAACAGGTAACTACAGTTCCTCTGTAAGCTTCACCCTCGTCTGTTCAAAGTAACTATAGTTAACCTTCTGTTAGCTTTACTCTGCTGTTCAAAGTAACTATAGTTCCTTGTAAAGATCACTCTTTGTCAAGAAAGCTACAGTTTGCGCTCTGATAAGCTTCACTCTTTGTTCAAAGTCACTAACAGTTCCTCCATTGCCTATCCGCCGATCGTCCAGAAAGCGAATCTGCCCGCGAAGCTCGGGTAACTGTATCGACGAGAAGAAGATGCCTCGACGCCGACCGTGCCGCCAACTTACCGATAACGAACACGGCCGAGGTTCCTCAAACACCTGGCGAGGATGCCGCTATGTCGGCATAGTGAGCACCTCTCGATCCAACCGAAGTTCCCCAAACAAACCAGTTCGCACAATCGTTAGCGACCGCATTCCCACCGTACGCGATAGCAAAGGGCGATGATAAAATCCGGACAATGACGATCCAGAGCGCTTGCATCTAACATGATTACGAGTGCAGCGGGGCAGTATGGGGCGCGGGCACAACTGAAAATTGTTTGTACGAGCGGCTGTTCGCCCGACGCAGTCGTACGTTTTTCGCAGTACGCGATCGCGAGCGAACCAGGGGGGGGGCGCGAAGTTGGGCGGCGGCGTTTTCATAGTCGTCGAGTATTTGTCTTGGCAGCTTCGGCGGCGACTGGAGGTGGCCGGCAGCATAGTCAGTATTCCGTAGCTTCAAAATATATTACAGAGCTAAATGCACACGTAGAGAAATTAATATTTCTCTCGCCTCCATAAGCCGTACGACCACGCTCGTCACGCTTTCTCTACTTTATCGCAGATCTTAAGACTTCTTTATCCTCGGCAGCTTTGCACATACACGTCTCAAGACTCCCACTTTCGCAGCTCTGAATGCGCACTATGGCTTCTTTGGCCCAAGCAGCAGCGTTGCCTGGACGTTATACGCAATTACACGGCAGAACAGGGGGTGTCTTGGTGGCTTCCTCTAGCAATGGGGCCGTCAATTGGCATCAGCTTCGCAAGGACGTGAGTGGTTGGCCGTCTAACGAGGCTGCACCTGTACTACCTCAGACGTTCGGACATGGAAAGCGCAAGATGCTAACGTGGATGAACGTTCTCTCACTGACATTTGTTGATAGGTACGCTCCGCCGAGCGATGCGATTGGAGATGCAGGAGCGTCCAACGCGTAAGCCATCACCGCTGCAACACAGAAGAAGCGCGCAAAAAATTAACGAGAAGGTGTGCAAAGAACAAATCAAGATCCTCAAGGCTGGACAACTAACACATTTCACGGCGAGTCACATACGCAGAAGCGTCCCCCCCCCGCTTATGCTAGAGCCCTAGTACGCGAGCCACGTGAGTTCGAGGTGACCTGTATCATTTAAATCAAACCACAATTTGTTTCATATATATATATATAAAATTACCATCCCATAAGTACTTGTAAATCTTATTATCTGTGTACAGCGTGTTTCTCTCTCGCTCCCGGCACAGCCCTTTTGAAACACATAAGAGCTGTAAGTACATTGATTTGTGAGCAAGAAAGCCTATGGCATAAAGTATCTAGATATGAAGACTTTTATAACACTTGAAGCAACATTCTCAAGTCTCCATTTCAATTTTGAGCAGAATTTTATATTGTTGATTTTTAACGTGTAGCTGGCATTCAATAACTAGTAAGGACTTTAACACTCGATGCTCGCGGCGACACAAGCTTCCCTACCTGATAGCATTATATATATATATTGTTTTATTCCCTTATCAACTACGCCAGGAAATATATTCGCCGAACGTACATCTAGACGATAATAACCACAAGTTATTAGCATTTCCCGGCTCGCTTTATCCTGACAGAAATTCTGGGAATTCGTGCATCTTCATCATACGTG